CCCCCCCCCCCCCATGTATCCATGTTCTCAGCCACAACTGAGTTCGCCGTTGGTGGCGTGCTTTAGAGTATCTTATTTTGCCTCCGAAGTTTAGCAAATTGGAGATTTAAATTTTCTCAAATCTATTATTCTCTAGTTTCCATGGCAATGTGACAATACTGTTTAATATCTATACAAATAGCTTATATGCTCAACAAAACCTTCGTAATTTACGTACGAAATCACAACGCAAGCTTTCAAATTCTAAAGGAAAATGTACTCAAGAATAATTGCGAGAAAAGTCTTAATTTTCCACCATGTCGCAGCCAAATAATTCACTATATGAGATCACGAGAATTGAGATCTCCGAGAACAACTTGAAGTATACAGCGTATGACCTGCGCTGACATTACATACACTTCAATTTATTGCTTGATACTCTATTTTATGGATACCTCAAATCCCTTGCGATGAATTCTGCAATATCAATAAATTTGAAATCAATCTCACCGGTGCTGTGATTTATTAAATATTAGGATCACCGATAAAAACTTAAAAGTTATCAAATTGATTCGTGTTTGTAATCACGATTAGGTGTGCCATTATTCATTCAATTTTATAGTTGTGGCAGTATATGTCAACGCATGCGCAGTTATGAATATAACATGTAAATTAAATTTAAACTTGTGATTGTAATAGTGCAATCAAATGCACCGTCTGACACAGTATGACAATGCGTCGTGTGTAATCGCATACAGGCTCCGACGACATTGAATGTGCCATGGTCGCTACTTACACGGGGATGCACTTCAACTTTGAAAAAAGCGTGAACTATGGATACATCATTTTATAAATTCCTATCTCTAGCGACTGTACTTTTCTCTTGACGTCAAAGGCTGTTCAAAACGTCAATATCGTTTTGATGAGACAAGAAAACGATCTTAGTCAGGATAAACTCCTGCTCCTGGCCAAGGAAACACATTTCTAAGCCAAAATATGACCTAAAACAATTGAAGAATATTGACGGCAATTCCACAGCACAGCAATTCCAAATCAAACTCAAAAATCATTATCCTGTCTATAAAATATTACAGACACTGATACAGAATTGAGGAAGATTCAAAAAAGTTGGTGAAAAAGACATCAAACAAATACAGTATGATATTGAAAGTATTCTCCCACCTCCCACCATGCTGTCCTTAAAAAGCTAAAAATATAACCTAAAAATATCAGTTGGGGATCAAGAACCACAGAATGGCAACCTTCTAACCAGTCAAGATGCAATTGGCGACTCCTTGAAGAAAGACATTACAACAATCTTGAGAAGTGGCGGCGAAAACTCTTCTCTATTCTCAGCTCACTATAAAGCCTAGTAGTTTAGTGGTTGTAATATGTGGCTTTCACCCACAGTGCCCGGATTCTCCACCAAATGTTGTGAATAGGGCGTTGTGTTCAGGAAACGTCGACACACTTGGCAGATAACATTCACACGTAGAAATACCAAGTCCGGCCCAAATGAATACACATTAGTTCATTACAGATGGTCCAGCGTTATTCATCCAAACAGTCAGCTGAGGTAACGCCACGTTGTCCCTTCTTTCCTATCCAATCTTACAAACTCAACAATAAAATATTAAGGCGTGACAGAGTAAACATGCGATCAGCCAGTCGCTGCAACCGTTGACACGATCACAAAAGAATTTCATGATAACCAGGGGTGTGTCTCACTGCTAAAACATTGTAAAGTTGCCACTACTGAATACAATTATTAAACAGTATATTCATAAAATTCTTGTAGTATATGTTATTAATGTCTACTTTAAAACATGCAAGTTGCTGATCCAAATACTGCATTGTCGTCTGAACGAAATGTACGTACATGATCATGTCGCTATGGTAACACTGTCAAGACTTTTTTAATCTATTGATACATGCTACAGAAACCAGACATTCTATCAACATATCATGACACCAGGCACATAGTAAAGCGGTGAGACGACGAGTCTCGAATAAACGAACCTTGGCGAGCGAAGATGTTACTTCGGATAAAGACTTTTTTTTCAAAAAACAACGGAAATATCACTGTGAACCATAAAATCAGACTCGGTTGGGCTGCTTATGATAAAACTACACTAACTTCAAAATGGGTCCCGTACCATATAAAATCAAGTATATACAACACATATGTTCTTTCAGTAGCTTTATATGAAATGTACCTCTACTACACTTTATAAACTAGTCGTACAAGTCTTCCAACATCAAATAATGCGACTATCACCAAACCTTTAGACCATGTCAGAATTAAAGAGAACACAACTACAACAAATCATCTCATCTCTGTCATCGAAGATAAAGTTTACAAACTGTTCGGAAGGCATAATTGAAAAAAAACGAGATGAAGGGATAACATCAAAGTATAAACATGTCTTGATGAGGGGTTTATGAGGGAGTTATTGTTTTGACAACGCAGAAGCACCCCTATTTACACCCCGGTCTGCATGCAGGCCTTCCCTGCTATACTCGCCTCGTCCACTTGAATGAAATGTTATTAGGATCGTATTTCAAGATGTCAATAATTACGGCGTTTCTCATGTATTTCTTATTTAATCATGCTGTTGCATTGCGATCATGGTGAAAGCTCTCTGTGGCCACTTCGTAGTATCTCAATACTTTGAGCCAAAAATATGAGCTGATTTCTACCATAAACACTATTAAAATATTCTTCCTGGTATTCATGGTTTCACTCGCTATATGCTACTTCCATTGAACATTGTCGACAATCTGAATGAGACCCTACTAACATCGTAGCAAGGCGGTACTATTATCATGATTTATATTTCAGTCAGTTTGACAGTGGTTGCCATGACATATACTGATAAAGGTTAATGACAAGACCAGATGGCGAGCTGGTCGAAATCAACCAAAAACATCTTATGACTCTGCAGTTTTTAAGATACAAGACAGTAGCTGTAATTCTAAACCAATGTTGTTTGCGATTTTAACTAAGGTAGTATCTTTGTGGAATGTTAGTGCGAGATTATTACCCCATCAATATTAGTTAGCGTTGACAATGTATAGAAATGTTTTCTCTAGACAGCTTGACGAGTAATTAATTGATTATGATGTGTAAAACTTTCATGTGATTGGTTGTTTGTTGGAAGGCAAGGCCTTGGAGTCTCTTATACTGATTGTAATTGGTTAAGGGGTGACAAGAAATAAAGATGGATTTAATGCTGTCTCGGGTGAAAACCAGGGACTTGGCGGAGAATCGTTTTGGGAACATGAACGAAGCTCGTGTGTGTCTTTTGTTAGCCTAGCGTGGAAACGACCGAATCCCGGTTACCTAAGTGAAAGGTTTTTAACCATCAAAAATACCTATCACACTATAATGGGGTATTGCGATAAAGTAACTTGAGCAATCATCAGAAGCTTTCTTGCCTTACTTTTTATTGGGAACATTGTACAATTTATTTCTCCATGTTTGTGTTCAGCTATTAAATTAGTTTACGTGTTTGTTCTCTAGATACCAAAGCATTTTACGATGCCCGAGTCTGTGCAACCATGCTACCGGAATATCCTTACCGATGCTCACGAGGTGGCAGCCTATGTCTTGGGGCTCATCAGTTGTGTGACGGGTTGGCACAGTGTCCAAATTACAACGATGAAATGGGATGTGGTAAGATTAAATTGTTTGTTTTTATAATAATAACTTTATTACTCAACAATTACCATCTGTGGGTAATGTATGGTAAGACAAATACAACAATAAAGAGAAAATTACAATAATAATACTATAAAGAAAAGATTACAAAGAACAAAAACGTTACTTTTTGTATATTGTTTGTTTTAGGTATTTAACTAGAGGAAAACTGTTGTTGCATATGTTTATAAAATTGTTTATTCTATCCTGTTTATTCAATATGTTAATTTTATAAACAGCAATGATATGATATGATATTTGGTACACTGGGCGTGATGACTAGCCTGACAAGTTGACGTAGGTGGCGCCCTGGACTGCTGCGAACCCCTGTAGCAATCCAGGGCGCCTCTTACGCAACTTGTCAGGCTACGTGATGACCGGAAAGAATAAAACACTCTTTGAGAGGCAAACAACAAATCACGCGACACTCACACTCTGAGCGAGAACTCGGCGACCATGGGCG